GCACAGCGGCTTATCTGCCTGTGCTGCTGCTCCTCAACAATTCATGTCCTCTCTGGTGTCAGTTCGTGGGTTCTCTCACCATAGGCCTGAGATTCTTAACGGTTAGGAATAAGTGAACAGATGATCCATGAAGGAGGTTTAATCAGTTTTATCAAGAGACTAATGTGAGAGGACTTAAATGCTGTAACTAAAGTGACACAATTAATGTGGTTTTGAGCCTGAGGCTTTTGGCACAGCCAAGTACAGTGCGAGTTTACTTAGGAAAGTAGTTATCACTATGGAAGTGTTTATGTAGATAGGTATTTATTATATAGAATTATTATGTAAAATTATTTATTAGCTGTATGTTATTTATAAAGATTTATTATATATAAGGATTTATCGCTTATACATGAGCTAAAAGTCACTTATTTGTACTGCTTTATACCTGAGCAAACATGATCCAGGATCAAGTTTTAACCTCTGTTCTGCAGCACAAACATTTGTCTGGAGTGGGATTTGAGTGTTCAATCCCCAAGGAAATTCCAGGCCTGGGCTATGGGAGTGAGGCAGTGAAAAGGGAGGCTGTGCAGGGTCAGGTAACGCTCAGTGATGGGCAGGTCTGGGGGATCAGGTCCTGACAGCTCCCTGGGCTCCTGCACAGCTGAGGGCTGGGGAAAAAAATCCTTGAATGTTTTTTGGCACAGCTCTGAGCCTTGTTTTGTGTGTCCTTGGTTGTGTTTTTGTTCTTGCTGTGACTGACAGGGGCAGCAGGCCAGAACAAACAACACTTCATCACAAAGAACACAGCCAAGCTTGACCGCGAGACAGAGGAGCTGCACCATGACAGAGTTTCCCTGGAGGTGGGCAAAGTGATCCAGCAGGGACGGCAGAGCAAAGGCCTCACGCAGAAGGACTTGGCCACGGTGGGTACAGCCTGCTCCAGAGCAGGCTGGGATGCAGGTGGGAACTGCCCTGCTCCTGGGCAGTTGCAGGGGATGGTGCCGTCGGTGGGAAGTGTGATATTAGCTCTAGTGCCTGATCTCCAGGCAGTTCAGGTGTCTGGGAGGTGTTTGGGGTAGTCTGTGCAGCCCCTGAGCACAACTGGGAGGCAGAACCTGGGGGAGGCTGCTTCCCCCTGCTCCCATCAGCTCACACCCAGCTGAGGGGTTTGCTGTCTGGAGGAACAGCAATCCCTGGTGTTCCTGCTGCTCCTGGCAGGGAGGAGGTCAAAGTCTGCCCAGGATGGGTGTTACCAGCATTGGGACAACAGTTCAGGGAGGTGACAGCAGGGATGGAGTCAACCTGGGAGCAGCACTTTGTGCTCTATCCTGCCATGACAAGGGACTGTTCCTTACCTGTGTGAGGCCTAGGGTTGGTGCTGAGTGTTTGCTGTGTCTGAGGCACATCCTCTCTCCTTAGAAAATCAATGAGAAGCCACAGGTTATCGCTGACTACGAGTCGGGACGAGCAATCCCCAACAACCAGGTCATGGGCAAGATCGAGAGAGCCATCGGTGAGTGAGGGACACTTCCCTGGGGCGGTGTCTCTAGGGCCTGGAGGGATCAGCAGGGGAAGGTGTTTACATTTCCACGTCAGGAATGTTCCTGGCTGGAGGTTGCTGTGGGTGTGGTGCCATTAGGTTGTGTTCTGATCAAATTTGGATCTGCTTTCTGAACCAGGACTGAGCTCCTGTTCTTTGTCTGCACCTTCATAGTATCACAGGATGTTAAGGGGTTGGAATGGACCTTAGAGATCATCCAGCCACAACCCCCTGCCCTGGGCAGGGACACTTCCCACCAGAGCAGGTTGCTCAAGGCTTTAGCCACCCTGGTTGTGAATGCTGCCAGGGTTGGGGCAGCCACAGCTTCCCTGGGCAACCTGGGACAGTGTCTCACCACCCTCACGGCAAAAACGTCTTCTTAATATCTAGGCTAAATTTCACTCTTTCAATTTCTCCCCATTGCTCCTTGTCCTGTCCCTTCAGTTCCTAACCAAGAGTCCCGCTGCAGCTTCCCTGGAGCCCCTTCAGCTCCTGGCAGGTTGCTCTGAGCTCTCCACACAAACTTCTCCCGGCTGAACAGCCCTAACTCTCAGCCTGTGCTCGTAGGGAAGGTGCTCCAGTCTGTCATGCATGGGGCTGTGTCCTGGGAACCACCCCTGTGTGCTCTCTCCAAACCAGTGAGGTGCTGAGGCCCACAGAGGTCTGGTTGGACTTGGGAAGTGTGTGGTGTTGGTATTACTCTTCCTATGCCAGTCCAGATCTCATTTCCTTGGAAGAGTTGGTTTTGTTTGAAGCTGGTCTAGTGCTCCTAGGAGCTACAGAAGGATTCTCCTGAGCTCTGGTTCCCCTGCCCTCTTTTTTTGGGTGTTCTCCTCCTTATAGCTGACACTGAGGGAAATGAAGTGATTGAGTGCTGATGGTGGTGCTCTCCTTTGTGTTATTCCAGGCCTTAAGCTCCGTGGGAAGGACATTGGAAAACCGTTGGAAACTGGTCCCAAAGGGAAATGACAACAAAGCCTCGAAATCAGTTTTTCCAGACTGATCTCTCCCTCCTGGTTCTCCTCAACTACCACAATCTCTGTGTTGCCAAGCTGAACAAGAGGGCTTCAGACTTGCTTTTGGGGGGGAAATCTGCCCAATCTGTACCTGCTGTAAAAAGGCAACTTTAAAGAAGCAATTTTCCTGATTCTTGTTTTTCCTTCCTCCTTCTCAGAGATTGAGGATCTAATCCCCCAAACCCTAACCCCACCTCTGATTTGCCAGCAAACCTGTGCTCGTGATGTTAGCAGCAGCTGATGTTAAGGCACTTGGGGTGGTCTGAGATGTGGTTGTTTAATTGGAACAATTTGGGGGTGGGTGGAATATGTGCTCTATAAATAGTTTGGGAGAGTTGGAGCTTGATCAGAAACGATGACTCAGTTGCTGCATCTCAATGAGTGTGGTCTGTTCTTTCCAGCCTGTTTTAAAGAGATCTATAATAAAGTTTGATACCCTTCAGTTGCCCTGGGGAGCTGCTGTGTGACCAGCTGGCACTAAGTAGTGTGGTGGGGTGGGACTAGAGCTGCAGCACCTCTTCCTTTGGGAACTGTAATTAAAGTGGTGTAACCTGGGGTGCTTGGATGAGGGCCAGTGCTGTCATAGCCTCCCCGGCTGTGCTGCTCATCTGCAGCTTGGCTGGCAGCCCGGGGATGGAGTCAGTACTCTGGGGTCATTGTGTGCAGGTGAGGGGAGGCTGTGGGGCTCTGCAGAGCCAGGCAGTGCAGGGACACTCAGGTGAG